CAAAAAAAAAAAAAAAAAAGACTGTGTTTTGTATGAATGAGGCAGGATTTATCAGTGTGTTAGTCAAGTACCCTAACACACTGATAAATCCTGGAGACTCACCAGGGGAACTGGAGACAGTGCTGATTCCTGGGCCCTGGTCCTGACTTCAGAGTCAGAATTGGGGAGCAGGAATCTGTGTTTTAAATGAGTCCTTCTCTTTGATCTTCAAGTTTGAGAAAGAGTATAGGAAGGATCTCCATGTCAAGGCTTTTAAAAAGCAAAGAGTTTTCATGAAAGGGACCACCACATTATATATGTATGTATAAATATGTGGGCTAAGGCAGGAGAATGTGTGTGAGTGTGTGGAGAGAGAGAGAGAGAGAGAGAGAGAGAGAGAGAAAACTGACTGCTATTTCAGGCACTGTGTTAGGATCTTATTCATTCCTTTCTGCTCTCTACACAGCAGATTCTCTAGTCCTCATTTTACAGATGAGAAAATGGAGGCTCAGAAAGGAGTGACTGCTGCACAGTCACACACCTGGAAAGTGCCAGAGTCTGTGTTTGAACCAAGGGCTGATGCCAAAGTCCATGTTTGAGCCACCCTGCAAGGCTGCCTGTTTGTGAGCCTGGATTTCCATGGGAAGGGTTTTCTCTAACTTTTAAGAACTGGGCCCTTTGGTTGATAGCTAACCCCAACCACTCTCATGATATCCCTGGGTGCTGAGGTTTGAAGTTCTTTTCACTGGCCTCCCTCCTCCTCATTTTAAGCCCCAGATGGGTATTAAAAGGTGATGGTTTCCACTCTGTTCCCAACAAGGCTTGTCAATGCTGGAGTGAAGCATTCCTGCCATGGTTTGGGTTTGAAACAGACCAAGGGAACAGCTACATGTGGCAGGTGACTAGACCTATCCTATTCTCAGTGAGGATAGGAGTGGAAGGGAGGCCCTGGCCCAAAATAACTGCCCTGGGTTTGAAATGCAGCCTCAAATTTTACCACTTTGAGTTCAGATGCATTTTTTTTAGAAAAGAATTATCCATAGAATGACTACAGTCACTTCAGTCTTTCACAGGGTTGCAGGGAGGAGGATTGGCTTGGGCCAAGAGCAGCTGGCTGTGTTGGTCAGAGCAGGGTGGCTCAACTGAATAACTCATTCAGTTACTTTTCATTTGTGGAAAAAATATACTGAGGACATCCCACTTGGAAAATGAGAGTTTTAAATTATATCGTTGTTATCTGTAATCAAAAAAAGTGGTATGCATGGGTAAGAAATGAGTACAGTGCTTTCAAAACAGCCACGGAAGTCAAACTGTCAGGTGAAAGGGGCCCATGGTTTCACCCAACCATGGTGCAAGATTTTTTTCAGGGCTTTAGAAAGCCAATTCTCACTGTGAATTTCCAGGAAGGGGCTATAGTTCTCCAAATTTCAAAAGTTCATGTGACCATGAACATTTTCACAGAGTCTTGGGGGACTAATGTCTCCTAGAATACACTTTGCAAAACCAGAATAAAAAAAATCACTAATAACATGTAAACCACTTTCCAATTAGTGCCCAGTGGGCTTCAAGCACAATCTCATTCAATAGGGTTTTCTTGAGTGTAGACGAGAGGGTCATTTGAGGCTGTGGAGAGCACAGGCAAGACTGGGGAGAGCATTGGTAGGGGCCTGGGACTCCTGGGAAGCTCTGGCACGGTGGAGACAAAAGGCCCACTTCCCAGGCCCTTCGTTCTGTCTTCCATCTGTCCCGGAAGACGGGACCTGCACCTTCCAAGATGCTCCTCTTCCTCCCCAGTACCTCTCACCATCCTGACTACAAAGGCCATGCCCATGAGAGGACCTCTGCCTACCAGTTCCCTAGCCAGAATGAGGCTCCAGGCACTTTCCTGGCTTTCTTGCCGCAGGACTGTGGCACGGCTGCTAGGAAGCACAGCTTGCCAAGAGGCCATGGCATGGCCACTTGGTCAGAGTGCTTGAGCCAAGGCTGGTTTCGGGCCACATGGCGGGATTGCAGTCTTTCTCTCCATTCCCTCATCCCCTTGAGGGGGCCCAGGATCAATGAAAAGATCTGATTGTTCATATCATACCAGAGAGTGCTAACACCATGTGCTACCCCTCTGGGGATAAACCTGCTTTTCAAAGGAAATGCTCGTCTAATGTGGGACTCCAGGCCCTCTGCAGAGGGATGAGGGAGATGACTTTGACCTGCAGAACTCCTTAAACTCGGGAACTCATGAATGATCCATCACAAATCTGTTCCCATTAACCACTCTGTCCTTCCAGGTGCACAATTCCATTTGTATATCCAGCAGTAAAATACAATTCTGTTTAGAGTCATAAACCTAATGTTTTCTGAAAGCACCAGGAGGCCATGGAGGGATTAACCTGTCGCTGCTTAGCATCCACTCACCTGGACCCCTGAGATGGAGGGAGTTACTCAGTGGACAGACCAGAGCTAACGGGGATTGAGCACTTACTGTGTACCCGTTCCGAGCACTTTGTGCATATTAAATTGCTTAATCCTCACAGCAACCCAGTGGAGGAGATGATGGTTTTGTCTCTTTTCCATATTATAGGAGGAAAATGAGGACAGAGAGGCCTAATGACAGGCCCACTCCTGCTAAGAAATGGCGTGGCAGGGCTTGAACCCAGGTCTCCCCACCCCAGGGCCTGCAGCACCCTAGGGGGCAGTGGTTGAGAAGCCAAACTAAGGCTGTGTGATCATGTGCTTGGTGACGCCCTCTGCAGCACAGGGCTGAAGGGAGGAGGGTTGGCGTGGGCCAAGAGCAGCTGGCACTGCTGATCTGCTGAAGCTTTTAGGGGCACCTATGCCCAGGCTGCTCAGGGAGGTATATGCATCACAAAATAGAATTTTGGAAAAATAATGTGTGACCCAAAGGAATGACTCTCAAATGAGGGAGGATGACTCTCAAGCATCAGCAGGAGATGCTGTGTTGGTCAGAGAATGTTTCTGGGTAAAAGGCACTCTGCATGCCTCCCGCAACCCAACAAACAAACAAAAAAGAAGCAAAATAAAACAAATGGAAACAAATTAACAAGCATCAACAACAAAGCCATGCAAAAAACAAGGCAGTCAGTCAGTCACCTCTTCTGCCTTTTGGGTAAAACTGACAGCTAGAAACAAAGGGAGATAGATACAAAGCGTTTCAAAACATGGGAGTAATTTTTGTCTTTCCATTTAATGTTAAGTTTCAAAGGAGGAGATGTCTATCGTTGTTACACACACAGTCTGTTTCAAATCCATCCAGATGCCTTCGTGGGGCTCTGTCAGGAGTGGGAGCGCCCCCACAGCTGTGTCCCGAAGTCAGCAGAGGACTCTGCCTGGGAAGTGGGGGAGCACTTGCTGGACAGCATCATCATGGTCATCACTTCCTTTTGAACACTTGACGGCACACCTGGTCACCACAGGTCAGCTCCTGCAACGTTGGAAAGTGGGTAAGGGGCTAACAAGCCAAGCCTTCCTTCCGCCCAGCCCCCTGGCCCTCTTGGTGCCTGAGGGTGGGAGGTTGGAATAAAGAGGACACTTGGGCATTCTGGGCAAAGTGAATCTCACAGACTCAATCAGCTGGCATGGCCCGCAGGTGGCAGTAATTTGATTTTGACACTTGAATTGAGCTTGAACAACTATAAAAATGAAAAATGCTAAGAAATGACCCTCTTGGGCGGGATTTCTCCTACTCCCATGATTAAAACAACATCGCCTAATTTATAAAAGGCAAAGAAGCCATGAGCAAGGAAAGAATCTAGTGTGGAGGTGTTTGGAGGGTAAGGGCCGGGAAGATGCTGGCTGGTGAGGTGCCCCTCACCCTGTGGGCTTTCTGGCCTCTGGTGATCGGGTCACCAGCTGGCATGACACAAGTACCCACAGTATATGAACAGCAGAAGGGCTCCCCTGGGCCTTCCTGGGCAGCCCATAAGGTGCTGCTTTTCTTCCAGAGAGAGGGAGTTCCAGGATTTATTTGACTCTTACCTCCCCTTGAAGGAGAAGGGAAAAACATGAGTGTGGGGAGGACCCCCACAATCATTGCTGTTGACGATGAATCTATTGTCTAAGCCACAGGGACTGTTGGGGATTGCATTACAATTAAAAAAATCCATCATCCCAACCAGTGCAGGTAGGGAAAACCGTCAATAGAATACACAGTGAATGCCTTCCATATATCATCAGCTGACATTGCCTCTGAAATAAAGATCTCAGGTGAAGTGAGGTTGGCTCTGAAGGGCACCATAGCAACCTGTATACACTGACATTGGGGTTAGGTACCTGCCTGACTCTATAGGCAAATGAATAAAAGAATGAGTGAAGAGTCATTTGTCGAATGAGCCATTCATTTACAAATGAGCGGCTCAATGCATGACAGAGTGCAAAATTTTTCACCATTTGAATGCTTGACTCATAAATTGCCTTCAAGATTGAGGAATGAAAAATTAAGCTGTCTAGACAGATATAAGTTATTTAAGGATATCAGCTATTGTTCCTACTGCTCTGTTCTGGTACCAGATTGACCTAGAATGTTTTGGGGTCAGATGGACATCATGAAGAGAGGTCAGTGGCAGAGATGGTTCCCAGGCAGAGCCACCCCTCCTCTCCCCCTAATCCCTCCCAGGCTCCCATAATTATGGGAAGGATTGGTTCCATCTTCCTCCAGGGCACCTAAATTCTGAGACTCACATTTCTCCCCTGCTGGTCTTTAACAGGTTCCCTGCATTTCTCCTTGGATCTTGGCTTCCTAACTCAGCATTTTGAACTTTCTTTTTTAATCGCAGCCATTCACAGAAACAATCATATAGATTTCTTCCTGGAGTCCCCTGAGCCAGATGGGAATGGTTTTCTGACTATATGACCACATGTATTTGGTTGGAGCTCCAGGGAGGAGCACAGGGTCATTTTTCTTGTTACAGCGCCAGGTGAGGTGACCACAGTGAAGTTTGTAAGCATGACGGATGGAGCTGGGCAGACTCCAGGACTTACCAGGTATAGCTTGTCCCCCTCTACCCATTGCCTCCAGCCACGGTTCTCCTTCTCCCCCTTTTGCACGCACACAAGGACATCTCCTTCCCAGATGACCAGTGTCTGCAATGACAGATTCCCAGGCAAGTCAAACACATGGTCTCGAGGAACCGAACAAACTTAAATCCACAGCTGCAACTCTTGCAGCTATTTGGGGCCTCTGTTTGCCCACAGGCTGAGCCCTTGGTCTCAGGGAACCGAGATCTCTCCAATCTTATTTGCCTCATACACCCTCCCCTCCGTTCCAGCCAAACTAGTTTATCATGGCTTGTTCTGTTCTCTTTTAAGGAATTCTACTTTTCCATTTTCCATATGGTAAAGACAGCACTTCAAATCAGTGGGGGGAAAAATGATAAATTTGACTATATAATTATGTAAAATTTCTGGAAGGGGAAAATACCTCAAAGTCAACAGAGTAATAGCAAACTGGGGGGAAAATGGTAACATATATCAGCAAAGTTCTGATTTCCTTATATATAAAGGGCTCCTGTAAATCAATAAGAAAAAGATCACTAACTTAATAGCTCATGTCAACAAAGAACATGAACCAACAGCTTACAAGGGAAAAAAATAAACCCTAGCAGATGGCTTTTAAACATAAGAAAAGATATTCAACCTCACTTATAGTAAGAAAAATGTAAATTAAGACTTTGTTTTTCAGATATAATTCATCATATGGTCAAAAATCAGAGAGTCTGATAATACACTGAGCCGGAAGGGGTGTGGAGAGACAGACACCCTCATACATGGCAGGTGGGAATATAAATTGCTATAAATCTCTTTGGAGCGCAGTTTTATATTACCTTTCAAAATATAAAATTGCATATACTTTTTGACCTAGAAATTCTACTTCTGGGAATTTCTCCTGCAGGAATCACATTGTGAGGACTGTTACTGCAGGACAGTAATAAAGGCAAGAGTGCTCCATAACTCATCAGGGGGCTCCCAGAGGGTTCCAATGACAGCCTTCTCATCCAGAACCAGGAGGGTGGACCTACTTCTGGTCCTTGGCTTCCTACTGGCAGCAAAACTGATAGTTAGTAAGTAGCACGGGGCAACATCAGAGCTTGTGAGTGTAAGCTGACCAGCAGGTTGGAGAACCCAGAAGACTGCTGGACCACAAGAGCACTCAACCCCCTGTGCACATATTTGCAAATTATGCACTCCCCCCCGCAAGCTCCTCCTCTTTCTGTTTCCCTCACTTACTCCTCCTAATCTCTGCCTTGGTAAAATCTGCATCACCCCTAGTTGATCTTACAAGGACAGCCCCCTCAGTGCTCAAATTAGGCTTGCCCATGTACCTCCTGAGATGATTACATCATTCCCATCTAGGAAATGGTTTTTCGTCTGTGCTGTTCTACCTTGGGGATGACCCCGCTAATGACTGATTTTCTTCCAAGGATGTGCAAACCATATCACACCTCTATGAATAATATTATGCTAAGGACCAGACATTTACTTTCCTCCATATCTTGTAAAGACAGTTGGTGATAAACTGACCTATATTTTTTCCCCTCTGTCCTTGTACATTCAAACCTGATTTTTGGTACAAATCTGTTTTCTACAGATTGTTAAATCTACCTATTTCCAAAATAATATTTGACCTTGACCTTATTGAATATTTGATATACAATTTTATTCCTCCTCATTTTCCTCCCCAATACACTGCAGCATTGTTTCCGTCAGCAAAGGACTAGAAGCTTCATAAATTCTGTCAGTGGGTGGCTAGTTAAATATGGCGTGGTTCGTCCTTGCTATGTGGTCATCGAGAGAATATAGGCATAGTATATTTATGTTAAAAAAGCAAGGACCAGAGCCATGTGCATAACACAGGGAGGGGGGAGTGTATACACATACGTTTGTGTGTGCATGCTCTCTGCAAGGAGGTAAAAGAAGCCCTTGATAGTGACTGTCCCTGAGGAAGGAACTGAGAGGCTGGGGGCTAGGATGGGAAGAAAATTTTACTTTTTACCGTTTGAAATTTTTTTGTAACCATCTGCATGTATTCATATTCCCAAAGCTAATTTAAAAATAAAATTCTACATGTTTTGTTTTTTTTAAAAAAACTTCTTTCTCCTTCAGGACCACCCTAAACCTCATGTCTTTGAAGGTCTTGGAGAAGCTCAATCCACAGGTTGTTCTCCTTGCTTTTCTGGGAGGGAGATGTCTAGAATAATCATTTGCTCTTGCCTATCATCAACCTTGGATTCTGAAGTTTTGGTTTTTTTTTTCCAAATAGATGAGAAAGAACTCGTGTCTTCAATTTGGGCAAGGACTGCGTCTTTAGTTCTCCCTGCTCCCAGATTGCCTTGCACGTGACAGGCACCCAATGCATGTTGGTTAGAATGGACTTCTGTCTCTCCCAATAGATACTAAACTCCACGACGGATGCTACATCCGGTGTTCATTTCTGCAACACCAGACTCAGCACAGTGACCAGTAGTACTGAATGAATCTCTGATGGAATGATTTTGATTTTGTTGAAACAGAACTTGAGGTAAATCCCTGTCTCCTTGCCTTAGTTTCCATGGTCCCACCAGAGCGCACATATGTTCATCAACATGGACACTGTATGGTTGTTGTCCATCTACTTGTTTGTTTGTCTTCCCCATGAGGCTTGAGATGCCTGAGGGCAGAAAAGGGGGTCTGATTTATCATTTTATCTCTAGCTCCTGACTCAGCCCCAGCATGTAGCAGGGGCTTAGCAAATTTTGTGGAAGGAAGGAAGGAAGAAAGAAAGGAAGGAAGGAAGGAAGGAAGGAAGGAAGGAAGGAGAGAGAAAAACATTAGTGTATGGTGCCTGTCCCAATATTTTATTTTAATAACTCATATTGGACAGCAATATTAAAAGTTATTCTGACCCTAAAGTAAATTGGTTACTAATAAATCATGAAAATACTTACAGTTATGATAACCTTACTCCTGCATAAAACAGATTATAAGAAGCAGAAGGAAAGGTTAAATGAACAAAAATTCTGCAATTTAATTTGCTTTTAGCTGATGCCCTTCATCCCTGTACCGGAGGAGGTTTTAAAAAGAGACTCAATTGCCTTAAAATATCCTGAGGCTGAGGAGATAGACACAAGTGAGGAACCTCATTTCTTCTGAGCTAGGGGAGTACGTTCCAAGGGCAGGTGGTTGTGCGCAGGATTAGAGGGAAGCTGGGTTCCCATATGATTTCCTTGATCACAGTGTCCAAAGTTAACATCATCGAGAATGGCTCTTGATGGTAAATTAGATACAGATACTGTATCAGTGTTAAATTCTTAAAAGTTGATAACTACAATGTGGCTATATAAGAGAACGTCCTAATTCTGAGGACATACATACTAAACTATATAAGGGTAATGCGTTAGATTGTTCAGAAACAAAATATGCGTGTATTAGCGAGTGAGCGTGTGCAAATGATAAACCAAACAAAATGTTGTCAATAGTTTACTCTTGGTAAAGAGTGTACAGGTATTCTTTGTTACATTCTTATAACATTTCTGTAAATTTAAATCACTTCCCAATACATTTGTTTTTGTTATTTTTTGAGTCAGTGTCTCACTCTGTCATCCTGGATGGAGTGCAGTGGCACAATCACAGCTCACCACAGCTCCAACCTCCTGGGCTCAGGCTATACTTCTACCTCAGCCTCTCCCAGTAGCTGGGACTACAGGCATGCACCACCATGCCTGGCTAAATTTTTATTTTTGTAGAGATGAGACCTTGCTATGTTGCCTAGGCTGGTCTTGAACTCCTGTGCTCAAGCCATCCCCCTGTTTTGGCCTCCAAAGTGCTGGTATTATAGGCATGAGCCACTGCACCCAGCCCCCAATAAGTTTTTTTAAAAAGAAAAACAATAGCTCTTTAAAGTAAGACCATCGAAGGACATTATTGACATGCTTAACCCTCCCTCCTCAGCACACTTGCCCTCACTCAAGAGTTCTTCGATCTTCTGTAGGGCCTGGGCCCTCCTCTGGCTGTCCCCGAGCGCCACCCCTGGAGGAGGCAAGTAGTTCCTGACTACACCACCATCCCTCTTCTGAGCATTCCCATCTCCTCCCGGAATCACAATGGCATTATTGGCTCCAACTGTCATTGTCTATACCTGCTTTTCCCTGCCCTGACAATCTTCCCCAATTTCCATTACTTATTTTATTACTGAGATAGAGTTCACTCTTTTACGGCATACAATTTAGTAGTTTTTAGTATTCAAGGTGGTGTAACCATCACTACTTAAATCAAGGGGATTTTTGTCACCTCCAAAAGGAGCCCTGTACCTATTAGCAGTCACGATTCATTTCTTCTGTCCCTTCGGCCTGGGCACTTTCTGTCTCTATGAATTTACCTATTATGAACATTCTGTATAGATCATACAGCATGTGACCTTGCGTGTGTTGCTTCTCCCACTGAGCATATTTTCTTTTTTGGGGGGGGGAGGAGTCAGAGTCTTACTCCGTCGCCCAGGCTGGAGTGCAGTGGCATACTCACGGCCACCCCAGTCTTGACCTGCTGGGCTCAGGCGATCCTGCCACCTCAGCCTTCCACACCTGGCTAATTTTTGATTTATTGTAGTGATGAGGTCTCGCCAAGTTGCCTGGGCTAGTCTTGAACCCGTGGGTTCAGGCAATCTGCTCGCCTGGGCCTCCCAAAGCGCTGGGATTATAGGCTGAGCCACCAAGCCCAGCCCACTGAGCATATTTTCAAAGTTCATTCATGTTGTAGCATAAATCAGCACTTCATCCTTTCTTATGACTGCATGATACTCCATATTCCATAATGTAGACATCAATTACTTATTGCAATTTAATTTAATTTTGGTGTAGCTTGTGTAGTTTTGAAAGGGGATTTAAACTGTCTTAGAAACAAGTCAGGATAGGAAGTTAGAAATATATATGACCCACAGGAAGAAAGAAGGGAGTTCTTGGATTCCTCAGGGAAGAGTTGACCCCATGACCATCCTGTTTTCAATGCTTCTGCCCTGGGCTGGCATAGAACTGGGCACTACAGGGCACTCTTTGTTGGAGGCTGGGCAAACTGTTCTGGGTCCTTCTCATGTTTGTGTGTGTGTTTGTGTGCGCATGTGCGTACAGGCATGTTTATTCACTCTCCCACTTTCTGCTTCAGGTAAAGAGGAGACAAGCTATACAGAAGAGGACTGTCTCTCTCTCTGCAGAGCTGAGAACACTGGTCCTGGAGAGGGGAAGGAGAATGGCAGGTGTAGAGGCCAGAGAAGGGTAGGAATGCTGTTAACAGGTGGAATTCCTTTAAGAGTCAGGAAGGGTTGGAGGGACATGATTTATTTCAGGAAGAGTGAGTTCTGTACCACAGAGGTGATAAAGGATCAAGACAGAGCACCCACACCCAAAACTGAAAGGTGAGGGAAAATGAATTATTTTGCACTGATTAGGTTGGAACAGCAGAGTGAGTCAGAAATTCCGAAACAAATTTTCCTAGCATCCTGGTGTCTGACAAATTGGCCTTTCAGCCACACAGTTCAGAAGTTCAGAACAGGCTTATTGATCCATCATCCCCTCAGGGAGGGGTTCTAGAAGTGGACATTCCAGGGACTGGAAGCTTATGCTCTCATGCCAAGACTGCTCTGATGAAAGAATTTCCAATATGCTTTTCATTTCCCTACTTTTCTTTAGCAAGGAACACTAAATATAGTTCAACCTTGACTTGATGGCTGATACTATCAATGCTGTAGGACAACTTGACTGAGAAATAAAATGTGTCCAGCTCTCTTGACTTTACAAGTCATCACCAAAGAATAATAACAGTTTTTCTTCTTCACCCCTGGAAAGGAGCCAGAGCTCATGCGACTTGCTTTAGGAGAGGGTTGAGAACTCTGACTTTGAAAGAGCTCCTGGAAGTACAAGGTGAGAATCTGAGGGTGGTGGCATGACTTGGGGAAAATTGGGGCTTATGGTGAGAGGGGCAGGGGAGGGTGGAGCGTGTTGTTTCACTGTGACACTCAAGGGCTAGCCCTTTGTAGGGGTGAGAGCCTGGGTACTGGACACAGAGTACTCAACTTTGCCCTCCAACAGCTTGGGAGCCAGGACAGAGATTCCAGCGGCTGAGATGACACAGAGGGAAAAGGTACTATGAGTATTCAAACTGCCTACCCTCGTATAAACTGCACGGCCATGGACAGTAAACAGCCAATGGCAACTGTGATAAATGACAAACCAGGAACACTTCCAAACCTCCTGGGCTGCATATCCCTGGGGTTCTTTATGACGCCACAGTTGGGGTGGTGGAAACCTTAAATATAGCTGAGATTGGGTTTCTCCTATTTCTGTTTGGTGGGAACTGACCAGGTGTAATTTGATTTGGAAAACCAAAGACAGACACACTGAGCATGAATGTGAGCATAAGGGGGAGGTCATGGGACTGGGATACCACACAGTGACGCTGGGGAGAGCTGCTGTTACCCCCCTCTTCCCCTGCACCACCCCACTTCTCCCTGCCAGGCTCTACCTTAGTTGCAAACAGCTCCTCTGGACAAGGGCCTGCTCAGAATTGTTTTCTGCTTCCTTTCAGGGTCCTACCTACATTCAAATGGCCAAAAGTCTGGTCTTCTGTTGCATGAAGGATTTCATCCTGTGGGGTAAGGTAATGCTAGGACAGAAGCCACAATCTCACCAGAGACTCCTCCAAGCTACCAGGACTAAACAAAATTTGATTTCATTAAGTCAACTGATATTTTGTTTTATTTGCATCATACTTTTATAACAAAAAAATTACATTATTTGGGATCACCTAAGATTGAGATATTTTATATAAAAAAAATCTGCATTCTCAACATCTCTTTAAAAATAATCTGGCACAGTGAGACTTCATTCCTCCAGAGTAGTGTTTGGCTGGAGCCGGGCAGAGTTGTTCCCTTTATATGAAACGATACTAGCCAGCTGGCCACAGGCACTGTCCCTCCCTGTGATAGTCCATCTTGCCCTCTCTTTTTTTTGCCTGCTAAGCCCATGTCTGTGTATGACCCTTAGGCCCCTGTCTTAAATTCTGGAGAGGGAGAGGTTTTAATCTCTCCTCAGCCTCCTTCCTTCTACTAAACTTTCAGTAATTGCTCATTGCCGGCATCATTAAGTCCATTCTGGTTACCCTTTCCTGATCATTCTCAGGTTTTTTCTGTCATTTTTTCATCATGAAACCAAACAGCCAACCCTTGCACAGAGTGTACAAATGAAAAACACAAGCCCAGGTCAGTACCTTAACATCCCGATTATCCAGGCCCTTCGTGTACTCATTAAACTCCACTCCAACAGTGAAATCCACATCATAGTTGCGAAACGTGCTGGTGGTTTTTGTTTTGAAGTTATCACCGTCTTGATGGATAATCTTTGTCTGAGTCAGACGCACTGCAATCGTGCGGGTGGGAAAATCAATATCTGTTGGCAAAGGGAGTTGTGGAGATTATGATGTACTCAGCCAGACTCATTCATTTCTTTAATAAGGGCAAGCATGCAGGACCAGAGACACAGATCTTGGACAGGCCACATGTCTTTGCTTAAGTGGGAAACAAGTGTTGTCTTAGACGTGGCCAAGTTGGCATCTCAGTCAATTGCCAGGAAATGTAGGAGTCTCCTGGCCGTGCCTCAGGAACCCCGATGGGAGGTAGATGTAGCAGGTTGGGCACACACACACCCATGTGCATACACACACATGCACACACACACACATCCCTCCACCACAGCAGTTCCATTCTCTCCATTTGACACATTGAGATTCCTCCTAAGAGTTTGCTGCTCAAAAAGATCTCAAGATTTGAAAGAAAGAAGACTTTGACAACCACTGGTCTTAATCATGGATGAAGATGGAACTTTTGTTACTGCCCACAGCATGGAGAGATATTTACAGACTTCCATTTTTAAAGTGGATTGGAGGCTGTCCTGCCTCAGTTTTGAACACCCAGTACAGTTTAAAGCATGTTCTAGATAATAAACACTCGCTCAGAGATTTCTCTTGCTGTTTTTAGAGGAAAAGTTAATGATTATTTACATTTTTATTATGAAAAGTTTTAAATGAATCAAAGAAGCATTAAATTTCCTATGCTTTGTAATCTTACAATAAGAAGCTAAGCACTAAGCCCACCCACTTGCTAATTTCTGGTAGAGCATAAAATGTCACTCAAGCCAAAAGGTTCTTGTTCTGTGGAATAGATCTAGAAATAGAGAATAATTCTGGAATTGCTAAGTTTCTGTTCTTTCTTTCTCACTACATCTCCCAGGGTGGAGTGTAATGGCATGCTCATGGCCATCCCAGCGTTGACCTGCTGGGCTCAGGTGATCCTTCTGCCTCAGCCTTCCAAGTAGCTGGATCTACAGGCTCATGCTATCACACTTGGCTATATATATATTTTTTTTAATGTAGAGACGAGATCTTGCCAAGTTGCCCAGGCTGGTCTCGAACCCATGGGCTCAGGCAATCCTCTCACCTCAGTTTCTATTCTTTCTATGAACATCATCAAGCTCTTGGTCCTTAGTCAAATCAAATCTGATTCCCTTTATGCCTGTGAATTGATATCTTTGGATGCCAATCTAAATCCTTAATTTATTTTTCGAGAAAATCCACCTAGAAGATTTTCAAAAACAGTAAGATTGATTCTATTAAAGCCCAAGGGTAATAATAAACTCAAGAGTAAGAATAGGCCAGTCTCAGTGACTAAGCCTGCAACCCCAGCACTTTGGAAGGCCGAGGCGAGTGGCTTCCCTGAGCCTGCGGGTTTGAGACCAGTCCGGGCAACTTGGCAAGACCTCATCTCTAGAATAAATAAAAAATTAACCGGACATGGTAGCACATGCCTGTAGTTCCAGCTACTTGGAAGGCTGAGGTGGAAGGATCGCCCGAGTACAGTAGGTCAACACTGGGGTGGCCAACACTGGGGTGACTGTGAGCATGCCACCGCATGCCAGCCTGGGCAATAGAGTGAGACTCCAACTCAAAAAAAAAAAAAAAAAAGAGTAAGAATAGTTCCAATGTATTGAGTGTTATTTCTCTGAGAATTCCAGCCCCACCTTTATGGAAGGTAGGTGGATACATTTCACATTGTGCGCTGTCTGGTGCAGGACAAACTCTATATTGTGGCCATGAGAGACAGCAGTAGGTATTAGCAAGCTCCTCTCCGTTTGGAGAACTGACACCTCTGCTGACCTTCCCATGTTAGCCAAGTATTACCTGCTCCCATAGCCTTTCTGACCCATTGCCTTTTGATTCTGTCTTTGGTCCCTATCACTCCTGTTCTCCCAAAGGACCAAGGAAAGGCCAAGCTAGCCACTTGGACCTCATTTTGGGTCAGGAGTTTGGCCACAGCTGGGAATACACAACAAAATCACAACACCATTGGGAAGGGTGTTGGCTAGTTGGTTGGACCCTACATTGTAAAAAATCAGATTTGAGCACGAGGGAATAATTTTCAGTAACATTAGCTAGCCCAGGAGGCAAAAAGGATTGCTTACCTGTATCCTAAGTTGAAAAGAGAAATAGCTTCAAGTTGGCATGAGCTGGTACATGAACACCAGTGTCTTGCTCACCTATCATTCCCTACTACCAGCTGAGTACCTGCCACGTCTAAGTATTTACCAGTGGGTCCCAAATCTGGCTACCCTTCAGGATTGCCAAGGAAGATGTAGACACTGCAGATTTCTGGGTCCTATCCCAGGCCCAGAGTCTCCAGGTGGTAGAGTCCAGTGATTTTAGATTATGGATTTTTGTCATTGGAGGCAGTTTGGAGAAAGACTTCATGGCTCAAAAAATTTGAAAGCTACTGTCCAAGCTCCTACTTGTCATGTCAGTGATGATGAAGTGGAGACCTAGAGAAGCTGGGTGACTTGTCTAACCATATGTGGCTGAAATAACAATCACAAGGGCTTGGATGGATGTGTAGAGAGATCAAGATGGGAAGAGAAAGCTTGGGTGGCCAGGGAAGTTAAAGAGAGACTCATTTTATGGGAGAACATACTGAGCTGGATTTTAGTCAAGGTGAATCTGTGGGCCATGCTGTGTGGACCCTTGGAAATATTGGAGTGTCAACTCAGACACTTTTTAGAACCAACCAGAGATGGTGCCCCATGGTGGAACCTCCCTTGGGAAAACTTGCTCACTTTATCCTCTAAGCCAACCCACAAGGTAGGTACTATATTACTTCCATTTTACCAATGGTGAAACTGCCTCGAAGAAGTTGTGCCACGTGCCGTGAATTATATCATGAGGAAGCAATGAAGGTGGTATTTGACCTCAGGACAGTCTATCTCCAGGGCTGAAGCTATGGGCCTCAAGCTCTGGCATGGCCCACTTAGGCCACTTGCATGTGTGCACTTTTTGTAGCTGACCGAGATACTGGCAACTTATGATTTAAGTTTCCCCTGGAGTCACAGAGACTTTTGGATTCAGCTGGATGGGTCCTCCTTGTTTGAAGCAGTTTTTGTTTTTCAGGGCCCTTGCATTCTGTCCTCCCCAAATGGCAACTGTTTTCTAAGCCCAGAGCTCTATAATAAGTCAGCACTGGAGCAATCGCACTGTAAACCCTGTACCTTCTCTGACAGCTCGTTTAGCTTCGGCTCTGTGGCTTATGGAATTGTATGTGAGCGCATCCAAGCCACAGAGCCTGCGGGCCAGGGAGTGCATGGTGACATCAATGCTCTCTTGGCTGCCTTTGGTGCCGTGAGCACCTTTAGTGCCCTTGGCCAGCATCCATAAAACCCAGGGTTCCCCACTGTGTTTGCCATGGGATGCAGCTCTGTTTGGTGGTCCACAAAAAAAAAAAATGGGCTTATGATCCAATAAGTTTGGGAAATGAGGAATTAAAACCAAGAGAAACGAGTTTCTGCACTGAAGATTTTCACAAAGCCTTTACGATAGGAAAGATGCTTTATAACTAGAAGTTGGGGGGAAGGGGGATATAGGATAGCCTTTCAAAATCTTACATGGCCATAGAACCCTTCTGTGGAGGGACACACAGCTGGCTGGATGATCCATACAACATGATATGGAAAGGGCTGACAAAACCCCTATCTAAGACACTTATCTCAGCCACCTTGGTGCTGTGATCATGGAAATGTCTATTTAGTTTTTCTTCCTTCAAGGCAACTGCTGGCCTGTTTAGACAGGGTCAAGTAAGTGGTCGAGCATTTCTGACTTAAAAATGAATGCATCCTTAAAATCGCTACAGCCATTGAAGAATGCCCTCCATGTTCTAGTCAGTATAAGCAAGTGCTTGGGGCAGGCAGAGGAGCTGGCAAGAAGTAGGCACGTCACACTCCAACTCATGTTTCTCTCCTTCTGCCCCACAGATAGTCTAGCAATCAGGGGACGTCTGCACGTCCAGTTTCAGTCCCATTACTGGACAGTTGGGTACAGATCTAGAAGCAACAGAGGATGGTGGCCATAAGTGGAGCTATTACAAGGGGATTCCCTCCCAAAATGGAATTATCTTTTGGAGGGCAGGTCCCTTGGAGTAAAGGCTTCCCTCACTAGGCAAGTGTTCTAGGAACCCATTGGCATCAGTGTACCAGCTACTGCTGTTGTGAGAGGCTGTGTTGTGGAAGAAACATCCTGAGTTGTGGCAAACAGTTAACTGATTCTTCCACCATGACAATGCACCTGTTCATACCACACTGAGTGTTCAGCAGTTTTTGATCAAAAAAGGCCGGACTCCCATGTCCCACCTTCCCCATTTACCCGCTCTTGCCCTGAATGACAATTTTTTTTTTCCTGGATGAAAAAAGTCCTTAAAGGGAAACATTTTGCTGACATAGAAGAGGCGAAAAAAAAATCTAGCAGAAGCACTAAAAGGCATCAAAATGGACGAGTTCAAAAACTGGTTTGAGCAGTAGAAAAAGCATCTTGATAGGTGACTGAAGTTTAAACATGTAAGAATAAATCTACCATTTTTTATAAATGAATTTCCATTTGGGGAAGCCCCCTTGTATTCGCTGCACCAGCTTGTTGTGAGCATTCTATTTGATGGTGTTTGTGAAGAGCTTTGCCTGGTGGCTGGCGGCCAGTGGTAATGGCTCCATAAGTGGTAGTGGCCATCTTCAAAATCATCACTATGAGGCCCCTCATCTCACAGGCAAGTTTCCTCAGAGTCCTTTACATTTTCCCAGATACTCTTCAAACATTTGCTCCCTGAATCCCTGCCACTCTCCTCTCAGCTTTCCAAATCCCACAGGGGCCAGTCCCAGCCTTGCCTCTTCTGGCTTCCTACGCTTTCTTACCTCCTTTCCTTATCTGCTATCCAGGCCACACTGTTTTACCACACCCTCTCCTCCCAAGACACTACTTAATATTTTCCCCTGGCATTTTTATGGAGCTGGTTATTCTTTCCTCTATGGTATCACTTCCATGAGGACAAGGACAATGCTGTCTCCTTGGTCTGTATCTTCCCAGT